ACACACACACACACACACACACACACACACACACACACACACACACACAAGGCCTATACCCCCGCATACCATGAGGTGCTTATAGCAGCTTTGCATGCATGTGGAAACATTTCATTACCAAACACTACAAGAATACTGCTGATTAGCCAGATGCAAAATGCTGAGTGAGTACTGGTGTTCGAATGCGTACAGAAGCTTATTTAACTGTGTCAGTATACAAACAGGGTGTATATAAGAAAAATACACGTCCCAAACTATTATTTTTTTTGACAGATTGGTGCCGACTGTGCAGAGTTCAATCCATTTCCAGCCGTTTGTCTGCTCCTAAACAGCAAAGCTTGAACGGCATTCGTTTTTGGAAAAATTTCACACACTTTTCAAAACATTATATTAACTGATTACATAAACTGAACTGCAAATTTACAATATATATATATTTAATAGAAGATATTTCAAAATATAAAATCTAAATCTATTCTAATTCTATTTCAATGTAGGCTTGCCACATTCTACACAGTCATTTTAACACTTTGTTACGTACAAAAAAATATATGTACATATTGTGAAAAAAATATCAGATTGGATGCTTCATCGGTACGTACTGAATATTTTTTTGTTCAGCATCAGGGACAACACAACATCAGGACATCCCCATTAGAAAGTGATCCAGGTTGGACACCAGCTGTGTTTCCTACACACAGCGCCTCAGGCACCTCATTATGTGCCTCTTTTCTTCTCCTCCTTCTGTCTTCAGGGCTGATGGCAGGAGCAGCTACACTGCTGCAAGAAATTTCTCAACATCCCCCTCTCCTGTTCCTACTGCTAAATAACACACATATATACATCAACAGCAGTTTACACGCACGGTGCTGTACTTGTTTTTATATTTTTCTAACGTCTAACACACATATTTAATCATAAGTGTAACATCATCCAAAGTCTATACGTGTTTTTCGATTGACGACTGGGCAAATATGTCCTACAAATATGGGCTCTCATCAAGGTACTTGTTTAAAATTCAAGAGCTTTTCAATGACCTTTATCACCAAGTAAAAGCTGTGTTCTGTTACATATTCCACAAGTATTTCCTCTGTGAGTTTTTAAATACTCGAGTGCACTTGAACATGCCCGAACAGCCGATGTTCAAATCCAACTTGGCTTGCTGTGGAGAAGGAACACCAGCGAATGTCATGAATATTTGCATTAGAGGGTTGTGGAGGGAGGCTGAGGGGGCAGACACATGCATTCTGTACAGTAAGTTTTGGATGGAGTCCACCAGGCCGAGCAGACTAGGGAGTGTCCAGACCTGATCAAAGGCCAGAGCTCTGGTGTCTGTAAACAAGTAGGAGGATTTCAGTCCTGCTGGCTCCCTTTTCCAAGGCCTCCTCCACACACCGAGCACTCAGTGTTACTCTTGGAGTCAGACTCTGAGAATAATAAGTGATGGGGGACTGTGTTCTCAGGATGGCCAGGGTGTTCCTTCTACATAAGCAGAGCCTGTGCTAACTGCTTCGCTGATTTAGTGTGTGATTACACATACACACACGAATAACCACTCATAAGTCACATTCTGACACCTGTACGCACTAACTTTGAAGCATAGATCACCAAGTTTCCCACATCTGGGCAGAAATATTTTTTAAAAGCCTTTCTCACATTATTGGGTTACATTTTATAGGAAACGCCAGATATGTGCGCCTGTAGTCTATATGTGTGTGTGTGTGTGTTCTCTTATTTCATCTTGGAGGAGAAAACTGTCGTCAGCTGAACCACAAACAGAGCACTGCCTCAACCAATCAAGTGTGAAGAAAGAAGTATTTTTCCTGACCCAAAGTCGTATGGCTCTTATAGTATACAGTTCTAAAGATAAAATTTGGAAGGAGCTGAGAGGTCAAGAATCAAAGAGAAAGTGGGTTAAGAGCAGGACAAATAGGAGAGAACGGAAAAGGGGGAAGAATCAAAGAGAGAACAAAGACATTAGGCAAGCAAGAACAAAGGACGCAAATGATCAATAATGAGAGGCTTACCGATTTCTCTCATAAAAGGAGCTACATGTTGCATTTCACAAATCGTTACACTGGCCATTTGAAGACATACTGCAATATAATTACTGTAAATAATCTGCATGCTGCTTAGGTTTTAATGGGCTCTACATCACAGTTTGCATAATGTACCACTGAATTACATTTGACAGGAAATCAGCTGAACTGATTTACTGAAAAGTGGGGATTGTTCAATAGCAAACGGCAGCATTCTCTTTGTTACAGAAAGCAACTAAAATATGGTCCTGATTTTATGAATTGAGCAGAATCTCTGAATGTTGATGGCATTCAAATGTGCCATCAACAATCCCCATCCATGAGGAGAAACTAAGTGCATTTACTTGAGTAACTTATAGTTTACTTTCCATTTTCTGCTACTTGATACTTTTGGTCAACTGCAATTCAGAATCAAATACTGTACTTTTTATGCCATTATATTTAATTGTTCCTAAGCTGAATTATGTACCTTGCAAAAATTGAAAAAACCTGGAATCCCCATGTACAACATTTTTCCAAGGGCCTACAGGTGTTACCAATACAGAAAAAGTATGTGGTTCCACATGCGGTAGATATTTTACTACTCCCCTTTTACAATTCTTTTTATACTTGTCTAATATCTGCTCTGTGTATACACAGCCTGCAGTTCAAAACATTTCAATAGAATTTCATGTTTCCAGTGGTAGCATCTCAATCACTAATGGCTTCTCATTTGTGCAAAGGACTGCAAAATGTTTTGTGTTTTTAAATAATCCTGTTAGAGCAAATGGTGTATTTTTTGCTACTTTTTAAAATAAGACACGTAAAGTAAAGTGATTTTAACAGAAGATCACAATTTTAAGCTTTGTTGGGGAACATTTTCAAGGCAAAACTGAAAGTCACACGAGTAGTTAGGGTTCAAGGATCATCGTAAAGTTCCAAAATCTGACCATTCTTTCTGTTTTTACAGTTTCTGACTCTGACAAATAGTGTAGTTTTGGTAATTTTATGAAAGATAATACCCATTTTAAACTCGTCATCGGGTTTTGTGATTCAGAGGGTTAAGTATACTCTTGTACTTTTCCTCAAATATATATTTAAAGCCACTTGGAACAAAGCATTTCTACATTGTGGAGTTGGTGCAATTCAATTAAGTCCAACATTGGAGCACTTCTTCCACCTCTGTCCCCACTATTATCAAATCTGTTTGCAACAACTATAAGAAGTTTTTCAGAACAACAGAAAATAAATTATGTGATTTGTTTAGCAACTAACCTGAGAGCAGAGTAGGAGCCCAAAGACAGTGAGGCAAAATCTGGGTGGTAGTAAAGGTAGACAGAGGACACACAGGTAGGCAGGATATCAATCACTCCCACTGCCACGATGCGCCCATCCAGCCAATACTGCTGGTGGAAGGAGCCATAGCCCACCTCGGGCCCATCTGGAGAATATTCTGCCTGGAGAGGGCAGAGAAAGAGAAAACAGTGAGACAAGGTGGTCACCGGTCAAAACAAAGGCAGTACTCTTATGTGCAATACAGTTTGTATGTAAAAGGTATAAATCACAGTGAAATAAGAATGTGGTATTTAATAGGACTATTTTTACTTTCTTGCACTGATCCACATTGTCTGTCCTCCACACACACACCTGTACTATGGTGTGTTATAGCCCGTGGTTTTCCCTGCCAGGCCTCACGCATTATGTGTGGGGGTGTACAGTAGCCTCACGTTCAGCCTGCTAATGGCTCCCAAATGTGGAGTGAAAGCAGGAGCAGGGTGGAGCTGTGGCTGGGACTGGGGCTGGGGCTGGGGGGAAGAACTGGCCACAGAAACACTCCAGGAGAGTACTTTTTAATAAAAGACCCTGCATGAGCAAAATCCATTTCACCAGGCGGTGGTGGAGTGTTGCCAAGCTTTCTCCTACATGTCTGTGTCTGCTCTGTCCATGTGGCATAAAAGAATGTGGGTGTAGGTGTGCGCCCGCATGTTTGAGGCTACCCCATTAATAAAACTGTTAAGTTTCTGACACACATCGGGTTTCTCATAGGGATCTGCACGCTGGGTTTTTCAATCAAGTCACTTGACTGCTTTTATCACAGAGGCTTAAGACTAGAGGCTTGGGGTTGAGGTTAAAAGTCACATTAAGCTAAGGTATTGGCTTATGTTTGTGGGTGTGTGTGTGTTTCTTCAGTGCACTAGTAACAGGATCCCACTCCTTCACCAGCATTCATCTGGACGCAGTTAAGCAGTGCAGACGCTGCTAGTTATCACAACACTGAGCGAGCTAGCGTACTAGTGCAGTGCACCACTGGCCCTGCATTCTGACCAAATTAAACCTGACCAAAAAGAAACAAAGCACACACGCACACGCACACACGCACACACGCACACACACACACACACACACACACACACACACACACACTCCTTGCTGCTCAGTGACCCCGGACGGCTGACGATTTTCGTAAGTAGAGTTGTTAATGAAAATAAAGCCCTATCCCTCCAGGCCAGGCCTTTGGACACCCACGTCTGATTACTTGTTTGACACAATGTATACCAGAGTCCATTTGTTTTTGTGTGGATGTGTGTGTCCATAGCTTTGTAGAAAGGGATGCTTAAACTGTCTGAATGCTGCTCCACATCAGAGGCTATATGATATGAAGATACAGATAATGAGGGTTTATTGCTGTGATGGACTGACTAGCAGGAAAAAAAAGAGGGTAGAATCCAGAATATGAACACTGATGTGGAGGGCAGCTGGAAGTTGAAGGGTGACAGGCACCACATCTGGATCAAGCACTGCGCTCTATGCAGCTATGAATGTGTGCGCATGTGTGTGTGTGTGTGTGTGTGTGTGTGTGTGTCCAATGCTGGGGGAACTGTCTCTCTGTGTAAGCAGGCAGTCTGTTATTTCTTGGCACCAGTTCCTCCAGTAACACTGGAGGCTTTGTCAGAGGCCCCGCTCTGTCATTTAGAAGTAGTAAGTAAAAGTAAAGAGCACCACGTGATTTTTCTTACCCCCCCTTGAGTATACACGCTTGAACACATTTGTATGAATGTGAAAGCTGGTGCAAGAGAAGTTAATGGCTGTCAGGGTTTGTATGTTTGTTTATAAGCCCATGCTGCATTCAAGGCCAATCTTGTCTGACTGACCTGTGCACCACCTCAAACGACAGCTTAATGGCTGTGTCCTTGCCACTGTGACAACAATCTAAACATTCCCTGGAATACTTCAAACCACCCCAGCAGCCCCAAATCGCTCTCATATGGCCTAAATACAAGGCTGCGTGAGCAGCATGCTCCGTCGAGCCAGGACGGGGTGTATTGCATGTTTGTTTCGACCTGCTTAGAGACACATTTGGGTAGATTTTGCTCAATCAAAACAATAGGATTATGTGAACTTGCCAGGGACAAGAAACTAATACATAAAATTGTATTTTAGACACTTCTCTGTTTCTCATTAAAGTTGTTTGCATTTACTGTATTGCTAATCCCACCCAAATACTATCCTGAGCTGTCTAATGATGATACAGAAAGGAACAGACTTTACTTGCAAGGTCAGGCAAGGTTTGTAGCAACAATATAAAAGAGGGCACAGATGCCTAAATATTTGAAGACATCTTGCTGGCAGTTATTGATTATCCTTTTTATGTGGTTAAAATTTTATGTATCAACATATTGTTTTAAAGAAATAAAAACGTTTTGCTCATGTGAAACTCGTGATTTGTGCTTTCTTATAGGTTTATTCACTTTGTTTGCTGTGAAATAATGGCATACTACACCTATTAATTGCTTTCGGGTGGATACAAATCAGTAAAGTCTTTAACTTCAATTCCGTGCAAATCTACAACCCTGAGCTGTTAGCCCTACTGTAGCAATGATGCTGTTATGATTCTGGCACTGACCAACAACAGATGTCTAACAAACACATTTTTAACTCTCCCTCCTCTCACTCACAAATGTGCATCCCCCAACAACTGCAAAAGATCAAGTCCTGCATGCAGGCTGTGTGTAGCATAGCTCACATCATGAGTCCCAACTCTTGTCAGTATGCAAAGCTTATATTTAATGTCTCACATGTTGTACAGGACAAAGTTAAATATACTTTACTATCTCATTAGTGTCCTGTTGTTTACTCTTGGTTTTTGCTTGCAGCTCCACCATATACAGTAGGGCCAGTGTATTCACTACTAAGGTATGTCAGCTAGTGCATTCCCTGCTGATGTGTATCTCTGTTACTTTACATAATGAAAATTCTTATTCCCCTCCTCTGAGAGAGTGTTTTAAGGTAAAAAAAAAAAAAAAACAGAAATGACCAGAACTAAAAAAGCGTTGTCAGTGGACTTAATGGCAATAAATACTCAATAACAAATTGTGTAACAGCTCTATTAATGAGCGTTTGCCCCTTGGTTAGACACAACAGCAAACTGTAAAACCAAAAGACAAAAACAAGAAACTGAAACAGTGGATGAGCCCTACGCAGCACATAAAACCCAGAATCAAATGAAGTAACAGTCACCTGCATGCCTCCTCATGGCTCTTCATGTTTGCACTAATGTGTGATCGCTTTTCACATATTTCAAATGTGTTTACATTTCCGATTCTTATGCACATGTGTATAAATGTATTAGAAAAAAAAATTGACAAACCAGTGACAGATGAAGGTAATTACCACTGAGATTCACCATGAATCCTCTGCAATTTTGGCGAAATGGAAGTCAGACAACTAATCAGCTGTAGTTTAATTTGTAAATATGCTCTTTGCATACATTTATTTAAATGCAGGCTTACATGTGAGCTCATGCACCACACAGTTTGCAGGTCCATGTGGTGAGTGTCTGTGTGTATTTTAATAGCACTCTGATTGGAGACAGATGGAGGCCAACACGCAGAGGTAGAGCAGAAATCCATGCATAATAATTTTGAAATGGAGAGCACTTGGAGAGAGACACTAGAAGACAGAGACTGAGATCAGAGAAAGAAATAAAAACAAGATGCTCAAGAGGAGGCCAAAAAAGGAGATAGCCCCCTAAACCAGACTGAGACGAGGGGACAGCAAAGGCTGGAAAAAATGTGAGGCAGTTTGCCACACTTCATATGTGCACACATGTGTGTATGTGTGCAGAACTGTGTAATTCAGTGCGCCTGGCCGCCAGCCTTGACGAGGTGATAAAAGCTTGTTTCCTATAAACAGTAATGACGTTCATTAGTGAAGACCTGAGGGGGCCCACGGGGCAAAACAGAGTGAGTGTGTTTGTGTCAGTCAGTTTGTGTGAGCTCCTGGCCCTGAATCCTATTAAAGTGGCTGTTATAAGTACCCATCCTGGGTCTAATTGCTGGTGTAATTGTCCTGACCCAACAGGTCCACTAGTGTCTGAAGGCTGAAGCTCACCAGGGCTGCCAGGTGTTCAATGATGCCTGGCTGCACCTATATCTCACTCAGTGACCACGGACGGAAAAACACAGCTTAACCCTGAATCCTTTTCCAGATTCCATCAGTATCCCTCATGTCAAACCACCTAAAAAATGCCAGTAAACAGAGCACCAGCAAGATTATAATAATTAATGCACCAGAAGCTGCGATCAGATTTTCCATGGTGCCTAAATAATTACTTCTTTTCGTTAAATAGGCCAGTAGCCATCTGTCATTTCCTAAATTGATGCCCACGAAACCACCTCATCATCCTGTAATTTGTACCACACCGCACAAAGTGAAAAGCAGTGGTATGTCCTATTCTGTCAAAGCCAGAGGGAAAGGCTGCTCTGAAGACTTTATGTTCAACACAGTTGCAATGCAATCTGGACACCACATTTCACCGTTTACCCCCCTCAACACCCCCTTTCACTTAGACAGGGCTAAATTAAAACCCCTCCAATATGAAACAAAACCCCCTATCCCGAATCCCTTAACCCCCACTCAATCCAGCTGGAGGGCTCTTGAAGATACAGCGCAAAAGATGGGTGGGTAAGTATGTGCTGGACCAGGGGAACCTGTGTATATTTATCTCCTTCTGAGTGTGTTTGATGAAGAACAAAATACTGAAACCGTGGATATTCTATAATCATTATCATCATCTCTGTGACAGTAATTTCACCAGGAAGACCTCCTGGCTGGGGGCAAATCATTCCAGGTAACACTTGGATGAACAGAGACATTTAAAAAGGGTTTTATTAAACTGTCAACCGGCCAAAGGAAATACATACCTCTAGTGGTGAATCACAGAGAAATCTCCGGAACTGTGGAGGGAAGCAGAGGGGGGAAGCAGAGAGAAAAACAGTTAGTTCTCTGGGTCACTAACTCTTTTGAAAAGACATAAATGAAAACCATACACGTCTCCTTTGCTGTCCTATATGGTTTATCCCTCCCCATTTTCTCCTTGCTCAGGTGTCACATATCAAATGTAGCGCTCCGTTCATTAAGGGGCATAAAAAGGAAGACTGTATTTACACAAATGAAAACATTTACCCCATCAAGCCAATCTCACAGTCTAGAGAGGACACAGTGACAGCTAAAATAAGCAGCGTTACCCATGTCAAAATAGTCTATCTCTCAACACACCCTAAAACACACACCAGATATCAATTACTGGGGGACCGAATGTGTGTGGAAAAATTAAATCGTTCTTCCACTTTCTCGACTATTTCCTGCGCTTCTTTGTTTTTAGCAGCGGGGTTGAGAGCGGTGTGTTTACAGACAAGCTGACCTGCAGGGCTGGAGGACAAACGTAGCATGCTTCCATGTTTAAGGCCAAAACCATTTCATAATGAAAACCAGAACAGCCACAGCGAAGAAGTGATGGACATTTTTAGTTTGCTCAATCTGAACCACGCGAGCACGCAATGCAGTTTCAAGTTCGCATTTCCACAAAGAAACACTGCAATCCAGCTGTGTCATTCATTTACAGATATGGTCAACTTTGGGTCCATCGTCTTATTAGTGGAACAATGATCTGAAACAGCATCAAAATGCAATAAACATGGACTGAGAGGGTCCAGAATTAATAAACAATAGCTCATTTTTCAACAGTTGTCAAGCAACTTTAAAGTGAACTTTTGAAATGTTACAATTTTTATTATTATTTATTATTATTATTATTATTTTATTTTTATTTTTTAAAATTAGCCTTGTTTCAGGAGTTAGCATGTTCTCCCCGTGCAGCGTGGGTTCTCTCCGGGTTCTCCCCGGGTTCTCCGGCTTCCTCCTACAAGTCCAAAAACATGTTGAGGTTACTTGGTGATTCTAGAGTGTCCATAGGTGTGAATATGAGTGTGCTTGATTGTCTGTCTCTAAGTGTAGCCCTGCGATAGACTGGCGACCTGTCCAGGGTGTCCCCTGTCTTCGCCCTAAATCAGCTGGGATAAGCTTCAGCCCCCCCGCAACCCTAGTGAGGATTAAGCGGTGTATAGATAATGGATGGATGGACAGCCTTGTTTCAATAACTGACTTTGGCGCAAATGAACTAAACTGTGTAGAGTCCTCAACAGGTGGCAGTACATGTGACTGTAATATACAGAGAAGAAGAAGCAAAAAACAAAACCAGGCCTATGTTCCAAATCACATAGTTTTTCTTTTAACTTCAAGTACTTACTGTAGTTTCCTTTACAAAGTATGTACTACTTTGTCATACTAATGCATCTTAAACTTTGACCATCGTAGGCTGTAGCGTAAAAGGACCTGTCATCTAAGCCTGCTTATACTTATTTGAGATACCATGGCCTTTGTGATGTAACTGCGCAGAGGACTGCTGGTCAGAATGACAAAAAAAAACAAAAAAAAACGAGCTAGCTTGAAAACTGCAAAATCTAACCAAATGCAGTGTAACATTTATTGTATCGGGACATGCTAACTCTATTTTTGGAATACTATATAGTATTGTAGTATGGATATGGAAACACACCTCAGTTGTTGGCCAACCACTAAGCAAACCCAACAAGAAGAGGAAACAAACCAAACTTTAGCCATCTATGAAAGAAAAATGGAAAGAAATTTTTGATTTTTCAATTAGGAAACTTGTAAGTATTTTAATTAATTAATTTTATTTTATTTTTCCTTTATTTCAAACCAAAAATTTAAAACAAAAATCAACATTTGATACACAAAATCAAAATTTCAAAGTTCAAAAAGGGTTTTAGAAGAAGTTGAATACTTACATAAACCAAAACCTCAATGTCAATAATAACTTAAATATTGATACTGAAATTATTGTTCCAACTTCTTCTTTCAAACGCTCCAGTGTTTTTTACCAGTATTTTTTTTTTTTGTTGGTATCGGCCATGTTTCATGCTGTCGGGAGGCGAAGACAACAAGAGAAGCAGGAACAGCTGACTAGCCGTGAGTTAAATGTTGGCTACATTTACAAAATAAGGGAAACTATTTTTTGTTCATTTGAATTACATTTTTAAAATGCATAAACAGTTCCGTGCAGCGTGGGTTCTCTCCGGGTTCTCCGGCTTCCTCCCACACAGTCCAGAAACATGCTGAGGTTAATTGGTGATTCTAAATTGTCCGTAGGTGTGAATGTGAGTGTGCTTGGTTGTCTGTCTCTAAGTGTGGCCCTGCGATGGACTGGCGACCTGTCCAGGGTGTCCCCTGCCTTCGCCCTAAGTTGGCTGGGATAGGCTCCAGCCCCCCCGCGACCCTAATGAGGATTAAGCGGTGTATAGAAAATGGATGGATGGATAAACACAGTTTATAAGAAGACAAGACTTGTGTAAAAAGAGAGGAGGTTACGTGATGAGTCCTGCTTTAGTTTGACAAACTTAGGCCTAGAAATAGCTATACTAATTATTAACAGGCTGATTTGTGTTGAAAGGTCAGTATTTGCCCAGTATCCCAGGGTATGATCTAACTCTGTATTACATCCTTAAAACTAGTAGAATAAATCAAAGCTAATAAATCAGCTTTATCATTATTATTGGAAAAATCAGCCACTCATTGATCCATTCTGTCTAGATAGCTCATAGAAATAGTTTTTCAGAGTCTTGGCTGACTGATGAATACTGTACATGTAGCAGCTCTGTGTTGCCTCTACAGAGAGTGATGTCTGTCTTTTCTTCTAATTAAAAAGTAGAATCTCTGGAAATTACTGGAAATTCCCACCAGCCCATCAACATCCTCTGTGAATGAGTATGTGCACAGCAGTACAGCTGGTAATGGTGATGACTGCTGAAGGCATGGTTCACTAGGTGGGGCAGTCCTGGCTTAGGTGCAACTCCAAATCCTGCCAGTAGCCTGTACTCATCCAAAGGAGTGTATTTCTCTGTGTGTCTGCCACAAGCTTATGTGTGTTGGTGACACTAATGCAGTGTTCTCCAACACGGGAAATGTTTTTGGCAGAAAAGTGCTTAAAGCATGATGCACTGTCATCTGTCTTTTCTATTTTACCTTTGTCTGAAGCAAACAACCAATTTCACTACCTTTTAAACTCGCCCACTCCAGTTGGATCGTCATCAGAAAAATGACTAAATCCCTAAAATATTTATTAAGTCACAGTCATAAATATAAGCAAATCAGTAAATAATGAGGACGGTGTAAGAAAATTAAGTGTACAGAACTCAGAACTAACAAAAACAATTCATGCTCGGCAAAAGTGCACGCAGTTCTTGCTGAAAAGTGTTGTTGAGCGCTATAAAAGTCTCACAAACGGTGCTCCCTGCGATGCTGAATACTATAACAAGATGCTGCGCACTGCCTTTACCCTCAGCTCAACCTCACACCAGGGCGAAGAGGAATACAGGGGAGAAGGGGACGCACAGAACAGCTCAGACACAGAACAAATATGACTAATTCTCATCCTGCAAATACTCAAATTTCATTTAAACTTTCAAAATTCTCCTCGGCCAAGGGCACTTTGAGCTTTTTGCAGGAACAATACTCCAATAGCAACTCATTGCATGCAACTCTAATACTGCAAATCCTTTTAGTTAGATTCACTTGAACTCTATTCACCTGGAAAACAGAAGAACACCTTGTGCATTTTTTCCTCTGTCTATGAGCACTGTGGAAACAGTAGTGACAAGATCTGCTCAGTCGACAATGATCTTTGCTCATGCGAAAAAATGCTTGTCAAGTTCCCCACCTGTGTAACCATGCCAGTAAAGTGTAATTTTCCACTCCTACCTCTGCAGTGACTACTGCTCTGCCAGTCAACAAATTACCAACAGCAAAGCCTCCCAATGTGCAGTTTTGCTCAAGGGCACAACTGAAACTTTTGTTTAACACACACACACACACACACACAACACACACCACACACACCACACACACCACACACACACCACACACACACACACACACACACACACACACACACAAAATGGTTTACCAACATAACAACAGCTGCAGTTATTAGATGACATCATTTATAGAGGCCCTGCTACAACGCTGGCTGCTGTGCCTGTGGAACTGAGAATCACTATTTTGAATCATCATTATTTGATCAAGCAAATATGTGAGTGTAGATTTATGCATTAAAGCCTTTTAATGTATGCAAATGTATATGTGGATGCATGTGTGTCAGCTCTGAGCACCTCCCTTTCTCAGTTCTCCATCTCCTTTTACAACTAGAGCCCTTCCTCTGGTGTGTCAGCCCTGCTCGGCTGGATGATGTTGCTCTCCTGGAGCCCAGCAGGGTCGACCCCTCTGTGTTCACCGACAAACACGCCACACAAGCACGCTCATGGGTGCAGACTCGGAAAGAGACAGACAGTCTAATGTGCAGGCACTGGGCATGAAGACGGCAATGGGACACACACACGTGTTTACGAATCTCTGGCTCTATCTCTAATGCAGCGGCACATAAATGCAGCCATATCCAGAGCACTTTCTGGGACGCCCGCATCTACCATCAACACATGGAGTCCATCACTTCCTCTCTAACTCTCCCTTTCTTATAGTAAACACTCATCTGTGTACGATTAGGCGTGCAAGCAGCCTTCTCAAACACACACACACTGCAGTGCCTTCACTCACTCACTCACTCACTCACATACAGTACATATAAACACACACATCTGCTTAAGTCTAATTGCTACTTAAACCTCTCGTCATTGTGCTCCTTACTCAATCAAATTGCTGTACTTATTTGAGCAACACAGCGCTTATATTCACTCTCTAACACTCAAAACAATTAAAACAGCCCAAATACCTGTGTTTTTTTTCCCTCTTTCCTAAACTTCTGCTGACTGGATCATTGTTTATTTCAGAGTATATAAAGGAGCCCCTGAAACCTAGTTGCATATTGCAAAGCTCAGTGGACAAAAATAAACAAAATGCTTCAAGTTCTGCCATGAGAGGAACTGGGTAATATGGGTAATACGGTTATATTGAATGTCTTTATTGTGCATAACCATGCTGCTAATTGCCTTCAGATAATCTTGCCAACAGTAACTTTTCCTCATTCATTTCTCCCATTTTTATTGATAAATTTTATTGCCAATTTTAAGCTTTTTCCATATATTTTTTTTCAAGTGTCTTGGTTAAGGTCCTGGCCAAGAAGAGTAAATACAGATTTAACAGGATTTGTTTTCCTGAAAATGAATGCCACATGTGCAGGAACTTAGAGTCATGGCTCAGCACAACAGTTAAGACCAATAAGTGTGAGTGTGAGAGAGTGTGTGTGTTTGTGTGCATATGTCCAAATAATTGCCAGTATGTGCTCCAACTCTGTCAAGACACAATGACTGGATGTGGAGAGAATAATGTCTGGTTCACCTCCAGTCATGGTATGACAGGATATCCATACATCCCTAAACAAGCAAAGCCATTCCCCTCTGGGACATCGTACTGTTTAATGATTGTACAATTTTGGCAGGGCAATTCCACTTGCACACACACGCAATTTCTCCAATCACCTGGCTCTGAGCCAGGCTGACAGTAATCCAGACTCCGTCCCTCGGTAATGCTTTAATGGATTAATAAATACTTCTACAAATACTAAATGACCCAACTTCCTAAGTAGCAGCAGCAGGCACCAAATGGCACGGCACCAAATTGTGCCATCACCACATCAACAATGTGTTTCTCCTTTTCTTTATGAATGCCACAGGACAGTGGGGGGGCTCGAAGCTTCTGGGAAGGAAAAAGCCAAGTTTAACCAGGAGCTTGACGGGCAAGAAAATAAAATCAGCAGTGTTTAGTACTGTGGGCTCAGCGAGTGGGTGTCACGGCAGTCCAACTAAGGGGAATACAATAAAGCCCAATTTGTTTGAGTGGGAACAATTAGGGCCCGGTCTTGTATAAATTAACGGCAGCAAAACGAGTCCTAAAAGGAACAGACAATCCACATTATCTCAGGTTAGAGAGAATGCCCTGCAGTTCAGCATCTGACTAGATTGTATTGGCTTTATATATGAATTGTACATAATATCATATTAATAAAATACAGTCAAAATATATTCAGCAGGGTTGTTACAGCCTACTCATTTCTCAAGATTAATCCTGAGGCAGAGATGTCAAGGTGAGTGTAATATAGAAATGTTGGTAGCCCTGCGATAGACTGACGACATGTCCAGGGTGTCCCCTGCCTTTGCCCTGAGTCAGCTGGGATAGGCTCCAGCCCCGTGACCCTAGTGAGGATTAAGCGGTGTATAGATATGGATGGATTTCTCTAGTTCTTGAAACGATCCGATCCCAGTACATTTAATACCCTGAGCTGAAGTGGTGCACACACAACCACACGCTCCCTATTCATAAAACTAGTGTTATGGCACTAGGAAAGAATCTGCCACAGTCTGCCCAATCTGACGGCTTTTATTTATTAATTACCATACTTTTTACAAGCTGGAGAATTCAGTAATTTACTGTGGCCTGCTGGCAAGAGGGTGGAGGAGACTGTTTCCAGCCCAGAGGGACAAAAGGCCTTCTCAGGTTGTCCAGCAGTTCTGTATCCTGACTAGACTTTATTTTCTCTTCTTTTATTTATATATAATGTGGAGAGACTGAGGTGTGTATAAACATAATTTATTATACCATTTACTGTATTTACTGAATTAATTTTTAAACTTTACGAATCCACGTTTGGTTGAAGCTTCATATCCCCATTCATGATTCATTAATGGACAGTGCTTCACATTCACAGCAAATGAACTAGTGAAATGTTATGACTTAAACATTAAAAAAATAACATGCAGAGAAAATATTTTAATGATTTACCAAGGACCAATGGATGCTGCAATTCTCCCAAAAGTGTGCAGACTGCTTGCATGATGGACAGACAAATAAATCTATTGCATATTGAATTCCAAACTGGGTCCCACTTTTAATTATCAATAAATGTTTCTTCGAAGTTAATGAAGACTTAAATGTTCATTTAGTCCAAAAAAATCCCCCAAACCCCCAAAATACAGTTAAAAAAAATGATGATTACAATTTCCCAAAGTAGGGGGTGACATTTGTTTAATCTGACAGTCCCAAGAAATTGAATTTAAAACTACATGGAAGGGAAAAGCAGCAAGCAGATTGAACAAGTGTGTGCAGCAGTTCCCTACCAAGTGCATAATAATAATCATGCAGTACCTCACTGTCACTACATTCGCTGGGGTCATCACCATGAATGGCCATCTGGTAGCGGGCGTACAGCGCCGCCGACTGCTCATAGGACGACGCGAACTGAGGGTCCTCAAAGTTCACCGGCACTAGCCTCACCTTCAAGCACAGGGTGTGGAAGGAGAGGAGGCGGGGGGGAAGGTTTTACAAGGATTGACAATGAATACTAGGACAGTGAGTAGTTAGAGGATAAGTTTCAAAGCAGGAAATTGGACGATGGAGGAATGGACAGTGCGTTACAGTGTGTTACACAAGCGCATTGGCATCTTAGGGTTGACATCAGTCTCCTAGTCCTTGAGGCATTTCAGTAAGACAGCAGGTCTGCTTTGCGTTTCAGACTTGATTGAATCAGACCGTCGTACACAAAGGAAACACATACATGCAAAGCAAACAACTGGACTCTGAGAGACTGACGGTGTGTTTTTAAAATAACACGAAAATGACAAACTTGAGGATGAGGCTAGTGCACTGCCCAGCTTTTACCACAGATTACTCGAAGAGGATTGGTAATCCAAGATTCGACAATGTGTCAGCGGCTACAAGGTCCAGATTAGCAGAAAATCCATAAATGCGTTTGGATGGATCATCTCAGCCAGACACATACAGGCTCTTGTCTAACACAACAGACTCCACTCAAAAGGGTACACAAGGCCGAGCAGACTGCACGCAATGAGAAAATTAAAATCTCATTATCACTACTTATGCTACATTAAATTGACATCCAGTTCAGACAAACAGAACTATTGTGGACCGACAGCGGACACAGACGAGGTAGATATGTGAAGGTCGGGAGGCTTCAGCCCACGATCTGCCCCCCTCCCATAAACGAAAACAAGCCCAAGACTAACTGCCTGGCCGACCGAGGGCCAACTCAGACACCTGGAGAAACACCGCTCTCAACCGTGGCGTATGGAAACATTTTCCCCTCCATTTCCTCCTCTCTCGCATTTCTACACATACTCTCTCTTTAATGCTACCATCTTAATTCACTTTTTTTCCATTCACACAGACATTTTAAATTTGTCCCCATTGACCCCTGTTTCAAGGTTTTAGCACTAATTATCTATTAACTCCAATTTTACTTTACTATTTAGATATTTATGGTACAGCCTTTGATTTTTTTTGTATATCAACAACAAAATGACAAAATCAAAGAAATAATCATGTACTTAAAAATGCACATTTAATTATAATCAAACAAGAATTGCTAATAAACTGACATTTGTTACTTGTGTTGCATATGTATAAAAAAAAAAAAAAACAGGCTCCAGTTCTTACAGTAAAACAAATTACTGAAATTATGTTGAAATAAGAAAGGGACTAAAGCAACATAAAAATCCTTTTGATGCCTTTATAAGTACCCAGATATGCTGACACCCTCCCTCCCTCCCTCCCTGGGTGCCCATTGAGGAGGTTGACCTATGCCTCCCACCCTCTGACCTGGCTCTCGGAGGGTTTGTCAGGAGGGTCCTTGTGAATGGCCATCTGGTAGAGTTTGTACACCTGGTAGGAGGCGTCGAAAGAGGCTTTGAACTGCGTGCTAGGGGGATTGGAGCGCACTAGCCTCACCTTCAAAAAGAATACGGGCAGACAAGGGTTAACAACAAAATGAAAAAAGTGCTGAGAATAAATAGGTGGTGGTTAAAAATACCCAAAAGAAAAACACATCACAAATCAAAGAGAGAAAAAAAGTGTGAAAGAACTGTGAAAGAGAGAGAGAGACAGACATATACACACTCTCTTGTCTGAATCACATTAAGATTTTAAACCTTTAGTAGTTTGGAGGTTTTGCTCTGTAGATTTTACTTAATATTTTATCTTAATTAAGTGCTTGTTTTTACTAATGGTAGCTGATGATGTAAGTCAATGAGTAAACAAGAACAACAAGAGTGGGGTGTGTTATGTCCATCTCTCTAGTGACACAAAAACAAATGAGCATTGTTTATAAAAGAACGTGCTGAATACTCATACACACGTGGACAAAATTGTTGGCACCCCTCGGTTAATGAAAGAAAAACCCACAACGGTCACAGAAATAACTTGAATCTGACAAAAGTAATAAAAACGAAAAATTCTATGAAAATTAAGCAATGAAAATCAGACATTCCTTTTGAACCGTGGTTGAACAGAATCATTTTAAAAAATAAACTCATGAAACAGGCCTGGACAAAAATGATGGTACCTCTAGAAAAGATTGAAAATAATGTGACCACAGGGACATGTTCAATCAAGGTGTGTCCTCTAATTAGCATCACAGGTATCTACAAACTTGTAATCAGTCAGTTGGCCTATTTATAGGATTACAAGTAGTCACTGTGCTGTTTGCTGACATGGTGTGTACCACGCTAAACATGGACCAGAGTAAGCGAAGGAGAGATTTGTCTCAGGAGATTAGAAAGAAAATGATAGACAAGCATGTTAAAGGTAAAGGCTATAAGACCATCTCCAAGCAGCTTGATGTCCCTGTGACTACAGTTGCACATATTCAGAAATTTAAGATCCATAGGACTGTAGCCAACCTCGCTGGACGTGGCCACAGGAGGAAAATTGATGACAAATCGAAGAGACGGATAATACAAATGGTAACAAAAGAGCCGAGAACAACCTCAAAAGACACTAAAGGTGAACTCCAAGGTCAAGGTACATCAGTGTCAGATCGCACCATCCGTTGTTGTTTGAGCCAAAGTAGACTTCATGGGAGACGACCAAGGAGGACACTGTGTTGAAAACAAATAAAAAAGCCAGACTGGAATTTGTCAAACTGCATGTTGACAAGCCACAAAGCTTCTGGGAGAATGTCCTATGGACAGACGAGACAAAACTGGAACTTTTTGGCAAGGCACATCAGCTCAATGTTCACAGACGCAAAAATTATGCGTAATAAGTTATGTTCTGGGGCTGCTTTGCTGCATCTAGCACAGGATGTCTTGAATCTGTGCAGGGTACAATGAAATCTCAAGACTATCAAGGCATTCTAGAGAGAAATGTGCTGCCCAGTGTCAGAAAGCTTGGTCTCAGTCGCAGGTCATGGGTCTTACAACAGGATAATGACCCAAAACACACAGCTAAAAACACCCAAGAATGGCTAAGAGGAAAACACTGGACTATTCTGAAGTGGCCTTCTATGAGCCCTGATCTAAATCCTATTGAACATCTGTGGAAGGAGGTGAAACATGCCACCTGGAGAAGGCACCCTCCAAAGTTGAGACAACTGGAGCAGTGTGCTCATGAGGAGTGGGCCAAAATACCTGCTGAGAGGTGCAGAAGTTTCATTGACAGTTACAGAAATCGTTTGATTGCGGTGATTGCCTCAAAAGGTTGTGCAACAAAATATTAAGTTAAGGGTACCATCATTTTTGTCCAGGCCTGTTTCATGAGTTTATTTTTTTTAATGATTCTGTTCAACCACGGTTCAAAAGGAATGTCTGATTTTCATTGCTTAATTTTCATTAATTTTTTTATTTATTATTACTTTTTTCAGATTCAAGTTATTTCTGTGACCATTGTGGGTTTTTCTTTCATTAACCGAGGGGTGCCAACAATTCTGTCCACGTGTGTAGCTGTTCTGAAAATAGAGAAATAATCATTAGCCTATTTGATGAAGTGTGTCCATGAGCCCAGTGCTTCACCATGTCATTTTTTTAGTTTTGCGCAAAGGACTTTTTGTATAATCTTTTACAAAAATCTCAAAAGTTTCTCCATGACTTTTGTGTCACTATTTTAAATACTTCATTGTCTGCATCCATGTTGTTGCTTCTTTGACCACCTACTGTTGGACACAAGAATAGCATGAAACCAGTGACAGAATATGAATTGGTCATTTGCATGCTAATAAAAGGAAACAAAAAATGCTCCAAAACATTAATAATGATTAAAAAACAATTAGAAGTTTTGTTTTTTTTAGCTTTAATATAGACAATGCAGCCGCAATATTAAAACCATCTGCTTAATATTGTGTAAGGTCCCCTAACACCACCAAAACATCTGACTCATTGAAGCATGGGAATAGAACTCTTGGAGGTGTCCTGTGGCGTCTGGAACTGGGATGTTGGCAGCAGATCCTTTGGGTCCTGTGGGCTGCAGGGTGGGTTCTAAATGGATTGGACTTGTTGCAGCACATGCCACGGTTACGTGATTAGACTGGGATCTAACCGGTGTGCTTCGTATTGCTCTTCAGTATTGCTTTTATCATTCTTGCAACTTTATGATGATCGATTGTTTATATTTACTGTACATGTACTGTTAATGAACATTAAAACCACAGTCCATGTTGAGCCAAGCAATCCCAGTTAAGCAAAAACCCATGAAAATTATTTATTAATTATTCCTAACAAATGGCAATGACAGCTTTAAATAAAACTATCATGCATCTAATATGTATGTATCTACCAGTATGTTTGTACAAACAAGCTAAATAAGATATTTAGTTCCATTTAAAACCTTCTACAGTCTATTTCTTAATGCTGTCAGAGCAGTGCTATGAATCAAACTTAACAAGGAGGATCAGATAAGGCCTTTGATAGAAAGACTTGTGGAAAGAAAAATTGGCTGAGTGTTGCTGGTGTCACACAGATTAAAGAATTGACGTTTCTCATCCTCGGGCCCCATTTAATTAAGCGTCTCTTCGTTTGGAAGCTTTTGTTGGCCACAGAGGCTGTGCCATATGATTTCCCTTGAAGGACAGGATAGAGGGATTGAACTTGGGGTTTGTTTGACTTGGATCGAAGTGGGTCTCTCTCATATGAACACTTGGCATCTACATCCTTTAGCCAAACAGAGACTTTGGGCCTCCTGCACAAGGGGACAATGCTCAAGTTCGGTCTTTTTAATTTTGTTCTTAATCAGAGATTTTTGATAGGCTGAAATCAATTTGGTGGACCAACACTGCAGCAGGTAGTGGGAAGCATGGAAATTTAATTTCCAAATCTCATAAGAGCCTTGAAATTTAACACCAACAGTCTGATACTTGACATACTTAAGAAATTTCACAAAACTTCAACGTAAATTAACTTTTCACTTAACTAATTAAAATGAACCCTGCAGTTCATCAAAGATTTAGTGGTCTGAATCTGGGTCAGCAAGACCTTGCTGTGCACCATTATTGAGGAAAATAATAGAGTGACAACTGATTGCCAAACCACTGTAAGCTAGCAATGAGAGATTTAGAAGGAAAATGCTATGAAAATATGAGAAAAGTGTAGAGACAGCTGACAACACTCTTGAGGGGAACAGTGGGTGAACAGCTCCACACTTTCCAGGACTGCCTGTATCGTGTTATCACACTGACCCCTGGTGGTGGCAGATGACACTCCTGCTGTATTTAAGACAAAGCGGTATCCAATGAACTGTACATGCACCAAACATGTCTTTCCAGTCACTTTCACAAAGAAATAGGATCAGGGTTCAGGATTTCAGATTCTAAAAACATGTAAAGTTTTAGAGCACAGGTCAACTTATGGCACTACCAAAGCAAAATGAAGCTTAACTTTTAAATTTCTCTTTCCTGTCTATATTTATTTTCAGAACATGTATCCTGCAGAGTATTCCCATCCATCAAGTAGCATGACATCTTTAACAGATGTGTTTATGATGAAACTGGGCTCAACTGCACTTAATTGCTGCAGTGTAAACACCATAATCTCATAGAACTGGTGTCAAAACCCTTTCAACCAGAGAACTAAGTCAACAGAACGGAAGTCATAGACACATTAGATACGTTTACTAAACTGCTTATGATTTAAATTGTTCTTTAGCCAGAAATCTGATGCAGCCTAGTCACATGTTCTTTAATAAACAGCTAAATGGGTCAACTCCAGGCCTCTTTCAGTTATTTGACTTGTAAAACACGCAATTAACCTTCATTTGCAAAGGATAACCTTGAGTGCATGCCCACTTAGTGAAATTGAATGATAATTGCAAGGAAACAAATTAATCCAATTGAAAAGAGCTGACTGGGAGATGGGTTTGATGTTCTATTCTCAGGGGGGTACAAAGACAAGAGACAGGCAATGGCTGGTTCAATGCATCTGGCTCAAATCTTGGTCAAGACCAGAATGACGTTACTCTAGCAACCTCAGCTTGAGGTTGCCGGAGATCTTTCTACATTGTTCTTCTCTCTGCCAAAGGTTCATTTCCATGTCCTCTCATACTGACTTGAGCTGGGTGCTGTGGTTTCAGTGTCATCAGCAGGGTAATGCGACCCAGTTTGTGTGGTGTGCCTGTCATTTGGTTGAATTTGAACTAGGAAGAGGTGGTTTTTCCACTCTGCTTTGGCCAGCTATCCACTCCGCACACATAAACACATGGTGAAGTCACTGGGGCTAGAGAAGAGTGCTCTAGGAAACCAAATTCTCAAGCAAACTCGATCCAAACATTATGGAGACTGAAAGCTCAACCAAAAACACTATTTCTTAATGACAGCTGGAATCATCACAATAGGCTAACATTTATTCCAAGACGCATAAAAAGAGAAAAGAAAGTACCTACTCTGTGTTTTTAGCTTACCTCAAGGCAATGAGAAGAGTTTTCAGGCAATGACTCATTTATGAACTCTTCCAGGGGTTTGGGTTGGTTGGTGTGGGTGGGAGTGGGTTGGGCGGGAGAGACAATGGAAGAGACCCCATCAGTGTGTTGTCTTATCTGCTCCTTCTGAAGACGTCGCTCCTTCCTCAAATCTTTGGCCTTCCTGCACGGTGGCCGGCTGGGATCAGCTCCCATTCCTGCACCCCAGAGAGGACACAGAAGAGGGGAGGCAGGTCAAAGCTTTCCAAAGATGTTGGTTAAGGGTACAGCATTTTGTAACCATTTCCAGGTCACAATATGAAAGAAAGACAGGCAATTACAGAAAATAATCCAATTACACTTTCACTGTTAGACAGGTGACTATGAGTTAACACTATGTATGATTTGGGTCAGATTTTGTGGTCATTGGACCATGTTTCTGATGGATTTTGCCGACCCGTCTGGGCTGCCACGTTTGCTTTAGTGCAAGCTGCCTTAGAAGCAAACCTCAACAAAAATACTTAATGGAAATTACTGTCTTGTTTAAGTTATTAGCAGCTAGCTAGTGTGTAATTTATGAGGAACCAATAAGCAAAAACAGAAGACATAATAACAACGAGGTGCTTTTTTTTTTCCAAGAAAGAAATTACAATGATAATAGATCGGGGCTGCCAGCTCGCCATACCAGAGATTGTGACTAACAGAGCAAACACACACATACACTTTCTCTGTGAATATCCTCTGAAGCGACCAAATCTCTGAAAGTTTCCTTCTGTCTGTCCCCCCTCCTCATCCTTCTGATCCTCCTCCTTCCCTTCCACCCCAACCTCCTGGGTTCTTGCCAAGCCCTCCAGCTCTCCAGGCATCCCATGTCAACAGTTTACACGCCCACATCCTGTTTGGAGCAATAAGGAAACGAGAGCAGTTTCCTGCTTGTCTTATTGCCAGCTGCCACCATCAGCCCACTCGCTAACTTTCCCCTCCGATGACGTCACGAGGAATAGAGGGATGCCTGGTCCAGACAAGGGGAAGGGAAACTGAGGTCCTGGCCAAGGATCACAGGCAGCAATCAGATTTAACTGACTCAAGGTCCTTTATTTTCTACTGTAGGGCAGATTGTATCCTGTGAAGAGTAAATATAGACCTCAGTAGGGAATGTGTGCACATGCTGGCCTATTTCGATACATGCTTTATCTTGAAATCATAACAGATTTGAGTTGTGTATCATTAATTGTGCTCTTCTTGTAAATAGTTTGTTTCTTACACATTAGTGTGCATAGAAGGCCATAAAAGTGGCCACACAGAAAACTGTTTTGTTTTATCTTGCTGTGTCTGTTTGCTGTATTGGTCTGATGGTGAATGACTTGAGGCACTAGGTGAGGGATGTGTTTCTGAGCAAGCCTTCTGGTATAAGCACCACAACCCTGGCAACTACAAAGGGGTCAAATATTCAGTCAGAATAAACAAAGCGAGACCAATGCAGCGCCGTCACACAGACAATAGAAACTACAATCTGGACTTTGTTCATCACAGTGACTCAGCCACAAATGCGTCAACCCTTTTCCATTGTTTCTCCGTCCACGTGCCTCCTGTCCTCTAATTACACTCTCACTACAAACACATACTTTCTCTCTCAGTCTCTCACATGTAGACCCAGGTGCTCCTGAGGACGGCCGCGGCGAAGATAAAGTCTGACAGATAAGTTCCTGTGGAAGAAAGATGCTCCCGCTCCAGCAGTCAGCACTTCATAAAAGCTATGACAGCCTACTTTCCTTGCTTCCCGAGCACGAATATGACTTTCACAAGACACGCTCAGCATGAACTGTCTAGAAATGTGGCATACTGCTTAATAGTACGAAAACATGTACAAAGCAAGTCAAAATGTATTTACTGTGGGAGGAGGATGCCACCACCTGTGAGCAGCCACTCAAATACTGACATGGGTGTAAAGTGTCACTTAATAGAAGGCACTTCCTGCAGTTAAACAGGTTAAGCTTATATTTTGCTATGTCTACTATATTGCAAACATGGAGAGTCATGTTTTCCTCAAATTAGAACTGGAACCTGCTCAAGTTATAAAGCGTTCCAGTCACAAAAGTAGAGTAAGGATATACCCAGGTGTTTTCTGTAGAAGGTGAACAAGGGGGCAGTGGAGAACCACTGGCTCACTATATTAAATCTTATTTGCTTCCACTCTGACGAAATGGCTAGTTATTTCTGACACAATAATGAGAAGGATCTGCATCTGGATCAGTCTGTGCTAGTACCAAGCTTTTTCTGCTCCAATGTACGCTCTTGCCTTTTCGTGAATGGCTGTGGGTGCTGTTCTCATTAGACTTTTGAAAGGAAAGAAGCAGTTGAGGCATGAAACATGAACACGCTGTTAGAAGTGTTGCTTCCTGTATCTAATGGGAGTTTATTATCGCTTCACTGTGAGTGTTATTAATTCATTACTGTGAGTTGGCAGTGTGGATATCCTGTGCTGGAGAGTAAGGAGGAGAACATGACAGATAAGTCCAAACCAGACACTCGCCCTCCTTCATTCTCCAAGTTGATGCACAGTGGAGCCCGTTACAAGGTGAACAGTGACACCCACTGGCAAACAGTGGTGCTTTAAGCTACAGCAGAACAGCGGACAGAATGAGGCTACTTTGGTCAGGGAGAGACAGCATGAATTATAGCAACAAGACAAACTCCACTACTATTAAGTAGAAGAAGCTGAATTCAATTAGGAGGGAAGCTTTACACAAGTCACAGATGTAATTTAGGATAATTTATTGTGGCCAATAACCTGCCTTCTTTATTGAGGGGTTGTGTACTGTATAAAGTCCCTGTTAGATAGTCAATTATTGAGCACTGGATTAATCTGTTCATAAATATAGTCATTCAACTGAAACAAATCACCTAAATTAGATCATTCCTGTCTGCCACTGATTTGTATAAGATCATACAGGCATTATTTGTTCCTTTTACTGCTACAAATTTTATACCTGCATCAGTCAGAGCTCCTTTCACTAACTCCAACTGGTACAGAACACTGCTTAGTCAGACATTGACACAAACCAAAAAAACATTATCAGATTCCTCCGGTACTTGCCAATCTACACAGGCTACCCGTAAAATTCTGCACTGACTCAAGAGATACTTATTGATTACTTAAAAAAAAACAAAATGGCCATGTTCCAAATTACATTAAGGACTTTCCAGGGCACTCCTGAGCACCCAGTGATACTTAATAATGGATAGAATGATCATTTTGTCACTATGTCATTATTCAATCTGACATTATGTAGCCATAGACTTTTCTGCAGCCACTCACTGCAGAGTGATGTTTGCAGCTGCTGCAGTGTCACATTCACACTACAGCTGGAAGAGTCAGGGTACACTTGCATAAGCTATTTATGGATTCATGTAGAGCTACAACTAATAATCATTTAGATCAAATAATCTGAATATTTTTTATTATTATTAACTGTTAAAAATGAAGAAAATGTGTGGAAATGTCTGTTTACAAATGTCCAAATCCCAAAAATATTTAGTTTAATATCCAACCTGAGTAACAAATGCTTTACATTTTCATATTTGGGAAGCTGAAACTTGGCATTAAAGCCAAGTAATTATCAAATTTTGTTTGATTAACTAATTGCTGTAGCTCTATATTCATCGTGGGTCTGCCACAATTATTACATCAGCGTCTGATTGAAATTTTTTGAACTAAAGGTGATTATTTTTCATTTTCATGAGAATCGTTTCCATTCACCTGTATAAAAACAGTGGATGCAACTAAAAGAAATATAATATTTCTAACATCTACATAATCTTTCCTCATTTGCACACTCCTCTTTTGTTGAGGTTTAATAGCAACTGTTTATCTCAAGGCACTTTATGTCAAACCAGTGTTTTGTTCGGTGATAATTTGAAGTCCTCGACTACTGAAGCCTTAGGTCTTTGGAAATTTTTACATGTAACAGAGTTAAATTATGCTGTAGCCACCAATGTTAGGAACTGTAGAGTTGACTGCAGCTGACCGATGACTGGTGACAAAAGCGACTGATGTCAACAACAATTACTGGTGATACTAAAGAAAAACATCTGTGGCAATAAACTGAAGTAAACAAAAAAATGCACTGATAAAAATACTGAGGTCAACTAGAATTTCATGATTGTGACAGGCCTGATTAATTGAAAAAGAAAATCTAGAGCTGTTCTGATATGGGAAAGCAAAAGTAATGGATAAGATATTACAAGATGGGAAACTGTAATTACATTATTAATAAATTGCTATTACTTTATTACACTAGTTTTAAAACTATCAAGAACAGCACTGATTGTCAGTCATTTGAAAGGGAATAATATTTCTTACCTGGTTTAGGAGCTGCGGCTGCTGTTCTCACATCTGGAACAGACACTGGATCCTTCTGTGATGTTTCTGAGCCTGTAGGTGCAGCATCCCCTGCCTTCGTCTGACCCTCTATGATAGCTGGACACTCTGCTACTTCGTTCTGAATATCTTTGATAGCAGGACACTTCACTTTGCTTGGCTCCCGTGGGCCTGCCTCCCCACACCCTGAGTCCATTGGCTCCCCTGCAAGGAACATAATCAATACCGCTTACACCGGAACAAAGTGTACTACAGAGCCACAGTACCAACACTGTTCTGGGTCAGTGCCCAGGTCTAACTGTAATGTTAACTGAACACTGTGACAGAGATGCAGACCAAGTACTGACTCCATATAGAACACTAAATATTACACATGCATTAAAAACTATTATACTATTAGACTACATATACATACTCTCACCATTATCCTCTCCTTTTGGCAGTTCCCCTTTGGAAATAAATTTGCTCATCTTCTTCAGGATTTTCTTGTGGGATTTGGAAGGCTGGAATTTCAGTGCATGACATCTTGACAGAGAATATGAGATAAAGGGAGAAAACTGGTTAAAACAACTTGAAACAACATATTATATATTGCTGCTGTTATAGAAAACATTTAACAGAATATTTAACAACAAACTACCATAGCTCATCCTCATGTGTTTCATGTTTGTCTGGTCTTGTCAGATCTGACGTTACCTGCAGCATGAAACTACAGAGAAAATTCTGATGAATAAATTAATACAATTACCTGATGGTATATTGCGGACAGCATGTCTTCTTCAGTATGGGCTTATAAACATATTTCCCACTTCTGAAAAGAAAAGCATGGACAACCTTTACTATAAAATACATTACTATAGACTTGAAGCATCCACACTATTATTTTTTAAACTATATTGAATGAGAAACATCACAAGGCACGTAAGCAGGGATTGGGTGAAACAACAACAATTCACCTTCTCCATCCTCGATCTATGAGGTCTTGGTAGTCTTGTACTGTCATGGTGTGGGACCACATCCCTGTAGAAAACAAAAGGAACATCATTTCCTTGAAATCTTTAATTGAATTCATACCATTTTATGCGTTGCTTTAACGGATCAAAATCAGAAAACACGATTGCGAGGGTGCTGTTGCTATGAAAAGCCTCACATTCATACTAGAAATCACAGCAAAGATCAAACAATCCCACAACAAATTCTCATTGTGAGCTCTGATGCAAGTTAAGTCCTCAAGAAGGGACTACAAAGCCTTAAGTTTCTAATCCATGTCTGCAGATTGAATTTATGAAAAAAAAAAAGACTCAAATAAGAAGAAATTCTTAATGAGAGTGTACCATTTAATGTCTAACTTGACAAGAATTAAATTAGAAACTGTCAGAAAGGGGTTTTGAAATAGTCAGACTCTGTTCACAACTGACTGAAAAAAAAGTTGAAACAGGAAACATGTGCACAAGCGAGGTGCAGTTTTATCAAGAAGCTGCTTCAGAGTCTGATAGTAGGTCCAAACTTTTGTTCCAGAGTAAATCACAGCATCCCCAAAGAAGCATTCCCACAGCACTTTAAGGCCCCAGTGGAGACATACAAATTTATTATTTGTAGCCACAGCAGATGCCTCTTCCCAGAACTGAGATCTGAGCTACCCCTTTCAACTCCTGACCTTCCCTTCTGCCACCGTATACACAGTCTGCACAAGCACGCCCACCAAAATGTAAGCCTCTCCAGCAAGACGACTATTGGTTTACATCTGAGACAACCGAGGGAAACGACTGTATAACAGTTTACACAACACACACCAAGTTTGAGTATAATAGTCCATGTCCCAGGAGAACGGTGCTTAGCTAGAGTCCACAGAGACAAGGAGACATTATGGTGTGATCTATTACGGCACTGAAGCAGTAAATGGGAGATGAATGGCCAACAAATACATCAGCAGGACCACAGGCTTTCCTTATTAGAAGATTAACAGGATTCAAGAGCTATTATCTTTATTGGACCACCAGTTAAGGGGCTTGTAACCATGAAACTTGTCTATAAAAACATCCTTTATATAAATAAAAAAGATAAGATTTGAATATCACAACATCTGATCATCAGAGAACATCAAAATATTTGGTTTTCCATACACTGTGTATCCCAAATCATAGTCAGTGGTTCATCTAAACAGGCTATCGCTTTGTTATCATTAGGAAAATTAGCATATAGCAGTAAATGAGTCCTTCACTGGCAAAAAAACTAAACAAACACCATTAAAATCACACCAGATCAAAAGCAATACAGCTTTTACTTATTAGGGTCCGAGCACTACAGTGCGTAGGACCCTATTGGAACTGCTATGTCATTATTTCTTTGTCACAAAGAAACACGTTTTTCAGGTCCTAAACGTTCTCGAAAATGCACAAAACTTGGCACATACGTCAGACCCCGTGAAAAATGTTATAATTAGGGGGAAATACACACCTCAATACAAAAATGGCTCCACAGCGCCACCTTGAAAACTTCAATAGTGTCTCATCTGAAGCACGTTTGACCTAGACCTACGCAATTTGGTAGGTATATGGAGGAGGTCAGGACAAACAAAAAAGTCAGCGACAGCCACACCCTAAACCCAGCAGGAAGTCCGTCATTTTGGATTGTTCGTTTGTCCAACCTGAGCTAATTTCTCCTAGGGGGTAAGTCACAGAGCGCTGAAATGTGGGTAGCATGTAGAATACGCCTTAAAGGTAAAATGTTATCAATATCATCTGCAAAGGTCAAAGGGCGTGGCCACGGCGGCCCTCTGATTTTTGATCCTTTGCCATGAAAGAGGAAGCATGTCTAACTACCCTGTACATGCTCCAATCTGCCCTAAACTCTATATATTTGATCACATCCATCTGCCAAAATCCATTTACAGTCATAGCACTACCTATTGGCAACAGGCTGTTTTAGGCATTACACTTACATGTGCCATTGCTCCAAACTTTGTGTGATCATTTCTAAAATTGGCCAGCTAAGTCTTTCCACATGCGACGATGCTACAGCGTGAAACTTTTGCGTTTTCAAGCAACAGTGTTGCCATGGCGACAAATAGTTGCTATGACAAGGAAAGGACTTTTTGACAGCGTTGGAATGCTCATAAATTCACCAAAATTGGCATACGAGTCACTATCAGCTCAACGACAGACAATGTGTGCCTGTCTGGCAAATGGCTCAATAGTGCCCCCTGCAGCAATTTATCTATTAGCCCCCGCAGGACGTTTAGCTGACGTTTACAAAATTTGGTAGGCATATGTAACACATCAGGACGCACAAAAAAGCTTGTTGGACCCATACTGTAAACTCAACAGGAAGTCTCCCATTTTGAAATAACTGTGGAATTTTTTTGTGATTTTTGTCATATTCAAAATCTATCTCCTCCTAGGGGTTAACTCTTACTCCCCTCAAATTTGGCCAACGCATACAACAGGGCTTGGTGATTGAAAGTTATCAAAACACTCCGCAAAAGTCTGAGGGCGTGGCAATGGCGGCCCTCTGAATCATGATGATTCGCCATCACAAAGGAAGTGTGTCTAATGACCCTGTACATGCTCCAATCTGCCTCAAACTTTACATACTTGATCACAGTCCTGCCCTGATGAAACCCATATGGCAATATTCATTCACAGTCATAGTGCCACCTGCTGGCAATAGGAAAGCATGTGTTTTACACTGTCATGTACATTTGTAACTAATACTATGGCCAGCACGTTTCACTTACATCCATGAAATTTGCTGGACATATCCAGGACATTCAGATGAACAAAAAAGCCTGGGGGCCATTCACCTAAACCCAACAGGAAGTCCGCCATTTTGGATTTTTCGTTTCTCCACCCTGAGCACACTCCTCCTAGGGAGTAAACCACAGAGCACTGAATTTCGGGTCGCATGTAGAGTACAATTTGAAGGTAAAAATTTCTTAAAAGCTCTGCATTTCATTGAAGGGCGTGGCTGTGGCAGCCCTGATTTTTGATCCTTCACCATCACAAAGAAAGCATGTTTAACGACCCTGTACATCAGGGGTCTCGAACTCCAGTCCTCGAGGGCTGCAATCCTGCAAGTTTTAGATGTTTCCTTCTTCCAACACACCTGATTCAAATGATCAGGATCGTTATCAGGCTTCTGCAGAGCTTGATGCTGAGTTCGAGACCCCTGCTGTACATTCTCCAATCTGCCTCAGACTTTACACACTTCATCACAGTCCTGCCCTGATTAATCCCATATGCCAGTATCCATTCACAGTTACAGCGACACCTGCTGGCAATGGGAAAAGACATGTTTACACTTTTATGTGCTATTATTAGCAGGTTGACCATATTAACCTCAAATGGAATGAGGTGAGCCTTTAGACATTGATAATGACTTACACCAAAAATTGTGGCGTTTTGTCAAACGGTGTGTCCGTGGCGGCCCTTTAAACCACTCTGGCTGCAGCTTTCTCCTCTACTACTGAGGAGACATAGTGAGGACTGAAGATTGAATGGAGTCAGAGCTCCATCTAGTGAACAAACGGCGCAAGGACAGCATTCTGCACAACTGTAATACCTAACAGCATGAAATGTTTTATGAGAAAAGGGTTAAGGTTAGGTGATTGTAGCTTTGCCCCAATGTGTGCTGCACCTTAACTCGCGCCGTGTCCAACAGGCGTGGAAGTGCGAAGACCTGTCCAATGTCACGTGCGGCTTTAATTAGGGTCCGAGCACCAAAGGGTGCGAAGACCCTATTGGAATTGCTAGAGGTTATTATTATTCGCGCAAAGAGACGCGTTTTTGAGGTACACAACGTACTCACACACTCACCAAACTCGCCACACACATCAGACCTGGCGAAAAATTTTATAATTAGGGGGAAATACTCACCTCAATAGCAAAATGGCTCAATAGCGCCCCCTACAAAATTACAAAAAATGGGCCCCCGAACACACTTTCACGTACAGCCACAAAATTCGGCACACACATGTAGCAACTCCAGACGCACAAAAAAGCCTCAAGAACACATACCCAAAACTCAACAGGAAGTCGGCCATTTTGAAAAAAATGGAGGCTCACCACTGAAAATCGACCATTTATGGTGAAAATCGGCCATTTATGGCTCAGATCTCAATCAAAATCTATCTCCTCCTAGGGGGTAAGTCGTACACACCTGAAATTTGGCCAGCACAAACTACACGACGTGGTGATTAAAAGTTATCAAAAAGCTCCGCAGATGAGGCCCGGTTTGGAAATGGCGGCCCGTCCAATTTTGATCAATGGCCATTTCGGCCACTTTTGGTGTTTTCCACATTCAACGGGATACAGTCGGAAGGCCGTTTCATCTACACCTACAAGATTCAGTGGGCCTGTGTAGCAGGTCGGGATGCACAAAAGAGTAAATTGGCGCCAAGCACCAACTGTCTCAGTCGCACTCCAGCGGGAAGCGAGGACCCGACCAATGCCGCTTGCGGCTTTAATTTATATAGTTCTTGAGAATACAACTCAGCAACAAAACTGGTTATTATACGGGCAATTTTACAACCACATTGAAAGTTGCCACTGTTATCCTCCAACTGAAGACAATCTCTGAAGAAGAGAACAGAAAAACAACAATTACACAGTGAACGGAGACCTACTTGGATTATTCATGATGATACCAAGATAAACAAGAGCTCGAGAAAATAAGCAGCCTATATCTGTAATTTAAGATTCTTGGGCAGTTATAACCACCCCAGATTTAGTCTCTAAGAAGTTGCTGACCTTCAACCACATGTTTTTGTCACAAAATTCTCAAGACCTCAGCAATTACAGAGATGTCAAGTTGTCAAATGAAATAAATCAGTGTTCTATATAGAAAGTACTGAACAGGCTTCAGTTGGAATATGCAGAGTTAATAACACAAAACAAATGACCCCTTCCTTTTAACTTTTAAGAGTACATTAAGAAAAACAGGTCATGATCAATTTAATGGCACAGCAACCAAACACCTGTTTAATAAAACATCCTGATAACTAGTTGGGCAGAAAGTCACAAGTCTAAAATATAATATGTCAAATTATTTCTAGAGTTAATAAAGGAGTATGTGAGCTGGATGTGAGTGCAACAGCTGCCATCTTCACGGTACAACAGGAGCACCTTCCCATCATTCACACCTGATACATTCTTCGGCCTCCACTGAGACGTGACAGACACAACGACACAGGAGAGGGCAGATGTTGTGCTCTGTAGTCTGCATTCACATTTGTTTTGTATTTGACAACCCAGCTGATAACATCACACTGAGGAAAACACAACCTTATGGTGCACCTGTTTAAAAAGTCAACAGTACATTTACTCATATAGCTGATAATCACTCCATCATTGTTTGCTGAATCCAAGTGGCCTTAAATGACACAGTGATTTCTAGAGCTGTGCATCTGGTATGCTTTCACTCAATCTGTACCAACATAGGAAAAGCTTAACCTTAAAACACCTACACTGGGTACTTACAAGAGTTACACATGCAGTAAAGTCTTCCTTCTTCCCCAGAACCTCCCATGCCCGCATGATGTCACCTTATCCAGATTACCACCCTTATCTTAGATTAGACAACAGCTCTCGTCTGCAGACTGCGAGCCCAATTGCTCATTGACTGCATTAAGATCTGGCTGAAACCTAATTATAGTCAACCTGTTTCACCTCTGATAACCTCAGCGCAACAGCACCATTCTGTCCCCAGCAGAAAATCCCTTCCCATCTTCTTACAGCTTCTTTTTTATAGCTCTGAAACTAAGGCGAATCTTTTAAAAATGCAATACCATGAACATAAGTTCTTTCAAATTAGTAGAATGCTCATAAACTCTTCACGTTAGGGTCACCTAACTGAACTTCAAGGAAGGTTCCTGGCACTGGACTTTTTGGAGACTGTTGAAAATGCTTTGCAGAATTAATTCCATTTAAACAGAAACTGCCATTTGATTTGCTGCACGAAGCTGCCACCGAAAAACTCTCTTAAGAATAGCTCTTCCCACTTATTGCAAAATGACAGTATTTTTGTTATAATATGTGTGATGCTGTCAGTGAATCCTGTTATTGCTAGCAACAGTATAAACAAGAAAGTCAAAGGATGGCAAGAATCTCAATGGGAAAAAACTACAATTAGGATGTCTAATTCATAAACAGATTACAATTAACAGAATTAGAAGCAACACTATTTTTTTCCCTTCTTTTTACATCTGACAGAAGGGTAACCCAAAAAGAGATAAAATAAGCTAACGTCAAACAAGAAGATTTTCACCCCAATCTAAGCAAACAAATATAAAAGAAAGGTAACACTGATTGAGTATGTGGCAAATATGAGATATAAAGAGAAGAGTTATTGCCAGCTACAGCATAAATAAGAAAGTCAAAGGATGGCAGGCTTTGCATTTGACAGCTATACAGTCTGGGAATTAGACAAAGAGAAATCCAGGTTTAAAAAAAAAAAAAAACACATCACTTTACTTGGAAGGGAGACTAGGCCACAACCACTCACAACTGGTCCAGGAAGAGAAGATTTCCATTAGAGCTAAGCAGAGCCATCCTGCATCAGCTTAAGCCACAGACAGAAGCCAAAGACAGACCAGAATTCAAAATAACTACAACAAAATGAGAAAACTCTCAAATTGCACCAGTGTTTTATCTCTGCTGCCACTGTAGCATATTTATTTCAAATGGCATATAGTACATGTTGCAAACATACTGTCCTCTGTGTCAGCATTTTAGAAAACCTCTGTCTCATATTTAGTCTCGTGTTTACACTGCTGCTGAACTTACTGAACCACTGAGCTCATATTGCAATCCACCAGAGAAAAAAAAAACCCACAGCCAGTTCTAGAAATGTGACAAAGTGCTGTATCTAAAGCTTCGTTGAACTAACCATAATGCCCACAGTAACATTGTGTTCCCTTCCGTATCTGGCTGCACGTAACAATAGTTCAAGGCCTGGAAATATACAGTACCACATTATGCGTTTGCTCGACTTTTCATCAAACGAGATGTACTTTCGCTCCTGAGAACAACCCTGCTTCCTTTTCCTGCTCTGCTTATAACGTTGGTGTTCATTAGTTAGCTTGGCGCTGGTATAGATGTTAACATGTCCAAGGTTAAGTCTGAGTTAAACATCAACACCCAACAGATTAATACTTGAACACTACGGTCATTATCGTCACTCACTTTATTCTACGAATGTCTTAAGCTGTTTCCTAGAATGAAAAAAAGCTGAGCATTAGGATGCTAATGGCTAAAAACTGAGCTAGGTTATGACACTGGACGACACAAGTAACGTTAAATTGAGGCTAAGTAATGTGCACACTTTGTAGGACGTGATGTTGCGTACAGCTGATAAAATACAATCAAATCTACTGACATTAAGACTAGACTGTGCCAACATTAGCTAGGCTTGTTGCCAACCTATTCCAGCAAGTAGACGGAGCTAGCTCGTTAGCACAAGCCCCCTATCGTCTGCTTCCACTTCATGATACACTTACCATGAGAAAAGTTTCCTATTTGGTTTTTACAGTATCCACAGCGGTAGCCATCATCCCCGCCGAAATATTCTACAATAGTGTAAGACTTGTTTCCTGCCATCTTTGATAATCAGACGGCTGACAGCAGCTGAGTTCGCCGAGTGACCTGGCCAGTGCTGCTGGATACCAGACCCCGCCCACAGGCTAGACGTCACCGGTGCTGCGTTCAGAAGCAGTAGGAGCTTTGATAAATATCTCTAATAGGACGATCTTTGTGCTATAGCTTGAGTTTATGTATAATTTACAGTGTACAGCAGATGTCGGGCCACTCATGTTGTAAATCCCTTAAATATCAAATTTCAGAATTACACCACCTCCCACAAGTGGAGCATTTCCTCTTACAAACATTAAAAAAAAAAAAAAAAAAACATTTAAAGGATCTACAAGACCCAAAGTAGACATCCAATGTAACACAAGTGAATACACTTGTGATCACTGACGCGAAAGTTAGAAAACTTGTGATCACTGTTAACAAACGTGCATGTGTGATTTCTAATTCAGTTAATTGCATGAAAAAAAAAACAGTTGGAAAATGATTGGATAAGTTTGGACCCTTTGGTCTGTGTCCATCTGTATGTCTGCATCAGGACTTCAGATGGAAAAGAACTGCCATAGGAATTGAAAAATTTGATTGTAAGACAGGAAAGGATACATGAAGATCAACAACTAACCAAAAATAAAAGGAAACACAGTTGCAACTGTAATCACGAGGTATAGAACAAGTCATTGTGGCATGAATAAGAGCTGCAGTGTTCAACTTCATAAAATGTTCCCACAGACAGTGCACTTTTGCTCAATCTAGCGCTGAAAAACTGACAAGAAAGTGCTTCAGATTTGGCACTGAGGTCAGCAATGGAAATCAGAGCTGCTGTGACTGCTGAGACAGTGTGAACAATGGTTTATAATGTCAGCCTTTGTACACTGAAAAAACCTTTACTTTGCTTTCAGTATAAAACCGACCAACGAAATGTAAAGACACCTGATGAATGATGGGAGTACATCCTTGGATCAGATGAGACCTAGACACATTTGTTTAGCTCAGATGTTTTCCAGCATGTTCGCATGAACCTTGTCAGGACAATTACAGTGAATGCATAGTCCTGATGGTGAAGCATGCAGATGAGTTTGTGATGGTTAGGAACTCCATGAGTACAAAAAACAATCAGGAGATTTACATTCATAGATGGCACAGCAAAGGCCTATGTATACACCAAATTACTGGCTGACTCTAAGTCTGCAGAAGCTTGGCAAAAGAGGACTATTCCAGCATAAAACAATCAAAAACAAAACACCAAAAGCACACAAGAGTTTCTAGAGATGAAGACAGTAAAAACTGTGACCAGGCCAAGTATACTGACTGACTTGACTAGAACAGTTCACCTTTGGGGTGTTTTAAGGGGAAAAGTCAACACATTCCCTCCAGTAAAGAGTAGCTGAAAAAGATTGTCTCTGTATAATGACTGGACATATCTCCATAAATGGTCGTCTTTGTGCTGAAGAGGGGTTGAGTCTGTCATTTTAAAAAAAAAAAAGGTGAAATCTCAGTAATGGAAGGTGCACAGACTTTGTTGCATTGAGTTCCTACTGTATAGACTGCATTTTTAAAATAGGAAATCTAAACTGCTAGTTTCTAAGAGAAAATACTGTACTGTTTAATGTAGAACTAATGCAATTATTGTAAAGTGTTACAATTTTGAATCATTTGACAGTTAAATGATATTGCACATGGGTATTCTTACTTGTATATTGTATATATTCTAAAGAATGAACTGAACACTGCATTGTATAGAGATGCATTCGATCACTGAAATAAGCTAAAGTGTTGCACAATGCAAACAGTAGCTGCAACAGAAACAAATATTTAAATCATATGTAAATACTCACCGTAATTAGGGTGGTTCCTGAAATCAGACTTTACACTAAAAGCAAATGTAAAAAATAAAATTATGAGGCAGATTTTTCAGTATTAACGATGTGACAGATAAAACACAAACTCATTATTAAAGAACTGTACAGCGTATTTATTAAATTATCTGTGCAAAGAGGAAGGACAGCAAAGGAAATATGAACTATAATCCAGCACAAACAGCACTCGCGGTAAATTACAAAAACACCAAGGGAGAGTTTGTATGTAGAAAAATAAATTAGAAAATCACAGCTGGGGCAATGATTTCTTTTTTCTGGTGTTATAAAAAAAAGACCTTACATTGGAAAGAGTTTGTCTATGTTGTGTTTCACCTATTGCACTATCAATACAGTATAAGGGAATTAGCTTCTTTTTTCTTTTTAGCACAACACAATTTCCTCAGCAGTCATTTAACAACCAGTCGATGTCTCGGGAGATCGATATGTATCTTAAAAACACATTCACTCGTTAATGCACAGGTTCACCAAACCAAGAACTTTGTGGAGTGATACAGGTGATGAAGCAGCAGCTAGCCACTGACAGACACAAACTTTTCAATGAACTTGGGGTAGACAGTTGTTACTCTGACTTCTGTTGATGGCTGTGGTTTTTGGCAACCTAACTAAAACTGCCCTGGGGAACAGGGATGTTTTCATGAAGGTATTTCATGCTGCCTTGCTCTGAGAAGTCAGCCACAGTGTGTCCCTCGCCTCGAAGAACCCATTTAGTGGTGAGAAGCCCCTCCAAACCTACTGGACCTCTAGCATGTATCCGTGCCGTGCTGATTCCAACCTCAGCTCCTGCAAAATAAGCAGTGTGAAATTAAATCTTCTACCTTGTGTTTACCACAGTCGGAGGTTAGATGGAATCCCTTAAAACAATATGTTTGTCCGTATTACATAGCATTGAAATGCATGACAAAGCCCAGTAGCATACATACCTAAGCCAAAGCGGTAGCCATCAGCAAAGCGAGAGCTGGAGTTCCAGAAGACACAGGCGCTGTCCACCTGCTGTAGAAACTGTTCGGCTGTATCTTCATTCTCTGTAACAATGACATCAGTGTGGGAGCTGCCATATTTGTGGATATGGTCGACAGCATCCTGCATGCTGTCTACCACCTCGATGCAGCACTCCAGGTCCCCATACTCTGTCCTCAGAGACTTCACCTCTGATGGGCTAAAAGTTAAATAGGATGCAAACCGGGGACCTGCATGAATCTTTACCTGAGGAAAAGCAAAAGTCAGTGATTTGTTACGAGAATAATGACATAATCAATCAAAAATAAGAAAATAAATACTTTAGAAAAGCTCAATGACAAACTCTTGTTTCTATTTCTAGACCTTATTCAAAATGTAAAATACATTTAAAAAGATACAATTTACACTTAACATACTTATGTGTAATACTTCAAGTATTGGTGCATGTTTCTTACTTGTTCTGTTCTCAGCATGTCAATGATCTGGTCAAATATAGGAGTCCGCAGCAAATCTCTGTGCATGAGGAGGGTCTCCATGGCATTGCAGGCTGCAGGGTAGTCACATTTGGAGTCTCTGACTAGAATGAAACATAGTTTTAATATTGACTCAGCAGGTATGGGTTACAGCAAAAACTTAACCACAGCTTTGGCCATTACAAAAAAAAAAGAGCAACGACAACTGCTAGGTGCTCTCAGACAAAAGATAAGAAAACAACAGTTTTATCCAGTGAAACTTTCCTAACCCACAGTAATTAACAAAAACAAACAAAAAAAAACTTCACAGCTACATGCAGTTAACACATACCGACATCAATAACTTTGTCAATGCTGGCATCATTGTCTATGTAGACGTGACAGACGCCCTCACTGTGGCCCAACACAGGAATGCCCTTAGCTGCCCTTTGGATGTCCCGGACAAGCTGGGATGAACCCCTGGGAATGATGAGGTCAATCATCTTGTCTAGTCTGCACAGGTCCTCAACCTCCTCACGTGTGCTCACCTACATAGCAAAGTAAATTTCAGTTCCTTACAATTAATAGAAACAATACTATAATAATGGGGAAACAATAATGTAAGACTTTTAGTCTCACCAGCTGAATGGCATCTGCTACTCCATGAATTGAAAGTGCTTCCTGAGTGAGTTGATGTAGAATTTTATTGGTGTTGGAAGCTTCTTTACCGCCCTTCAAGAGCAAAGCATTTCCACTAGCAATGGCTAGAGCCGATACCTGGAATACATGAATTTCATTTTTTATAAACCCAAAATAATGTAAAAACATGAGTTAGACTGCCATCGAATGATAATCAAATCTACAACATGAGCACTGGGATGGTCTTACCTGTGGTAGACAATCAGGACGAGACTCAAAGATGACCAGCAGAACACCGATGGGGACAGTGATCTGTTCCAACTCCAGGTTGTTCGCCACCCTCGTCCTCCTCAGCACTCTCCCTACGCTGTCCCTGGAGGACACAGCAAGCTGACGCAGGCCAATTGCAAGGCTGTTCAGCTTAGCAGTAGACAGACTTAGGCGGTTGATCAGAGCCTGGGAGAAACGACCTATGAGAAAACAGAATAAATCAAAACCCTGACAATGCAGTACTCTGTAGATCCATATAGACGATGTTTTCTTTTTCCTTTCTCAATACAGACATTGTAAAGCAGAAGTGAGAACTTTCAAACACTTAAAGCAGAGTACTTACTCACTATGCTATGCTGTCCTGCAGTACAGGCACACAGAATGACTCTTGCTAATGTACTGACACTATACATTTATTAACTACTACTTTTTGAGCCAAGACTCCTTCATGTCAGATTCCCAAAGTGGAAGTGAAGTGTTTGCAAATGAGAACTGGTTCTCAAACATTTTTACCTGGTAAAATAAAGGTCAAATAAATAAAAAAAATTTAAAAAGTGCTGCACGTGGCAGAGAGTGATATTTGAGTCCGACCGCTGCATGTAGCCGTGCATTAAGAATATCAGTGCAGTTTTCTCTGCCTCTGTACCTGATACCGTTGCCATCTCCATGTCTTTCCTGTTGGCACTGAGAATCTCGTCTTTCTTCTCTGTAAGTAGCTCAGCAAGACAGCAGATGATCTCTCCTCTCTGGAAAAACAAACATAGGCATTAAAATAAAACGCGCAAAAATAAATACTTCAACGCCAAGGTAAAACATATTGAGTTTGATGACACCATGCATCCTGTATTGAAAAACTTTTTTTAAAATCTATTTTGATGTTGATAGGTTTGGCTGTCTACTAATGAAGATATACTCTCTCTATTTTAAAATCTTTTATATTACATGAGGAATTATATTTTGGGATCAATATATTGTACTTAAGAGACTTACCCTAAAAATCCATTGATGACAATTTGTTGGATTAAAACTTAATATGACAGTGATACATGAACTGCAAAAAAAAGGAATGCTTATTGCACTGTGTTAGTGAGATATATGATTCCACTGCAATGGAGCCTAAAAACAATGCAGACACCAAGAGAAAATCATTTCATGATAATATTAGCATTTAAACCCTCTGAACCCTAAGCAGTCTCAGAACATTTTTTGTTCCTGTCATATTTTTACTTACTGTGGGCTTATTTTTCACTCTAATATAAAGTCCTGAACCTCCTTGGAAACAGCACAACCATGACTAAAAGTAGAGAGAAGTCAAAAATATCTTTTGTGTAATAAAACTAAGTTTTAACACCATAATCCTGAGGGGGGAAAAAAGCAGAATTTCTCTGAATATTTATTTTACAAAAATCAAAAAAATCATGATGCATGTCCAAGATGTTTGTAAGTGCTCACAGGCGCTACCAAAACTGTTAAAAAAAAAAAAAAGAAAGAAAAAAAAGGTTGCTCTAACTACTATTGATATTTTACTGATTAAATTTTTAATCCATTCCCATGCTCCTATGGCAACAAACATCTGCTCGCATCTGCTCTCTGTGAACACAGTCTGCAGTTTAGCCCAGTTTAGCTGAAAAAATCCTGAATTTGTCATGTGACTATTTGTTACAGCTGCAACAAGGGGACTGATTTATTTATTGTTGGTTTTTCACAGAATCTGGCTGGTGCATACTACTGATTTTTTGTCAATTGTTTAGTATGTGTAGAACATGATAATCATGAAATATCAAAACATTAAGCTTTAATTTGGTAAATTTTACCAATGAAAATACAAGCCACAAATTATTAGTTCAAGGATTCAAGGCTTTCATTGGTTACAAATGTTATACACGGTATAACGCACAATGAAATGCTTTGTGTACCTGTTCATAGACTGCCTGAAAGTTGAAAACCAGTTGATTCTTACTGTTATTGCCGTTTGTGGCTCTGATAAATGCGGTACATTTTGGTGACTTTTAAATGGAAACATGTATTTCAAACTTGTTGGTGTGTTGAATCCCTATTTCATTTTGCCAAACTCACCTGTTCTGGAAGCAGGGAGGCCAGAGTCCTGCCAGCATGCCGGGCCATCTCCGTCTGCTGCTCCACAGTTGGGCCTGGTCATGTCAACAATGCACACATAAAATATAAAAAAAACGCAACCACAACATGAGTGTCAAATATTCATTCCAGATCATGGGTTCTCAACTGGTGGGTCGCGACCCAAAAGTGGGTCGCGAACAGCTGGTCAAAATTAAATAATATATAATGTGCGTCTCAGGTTGGACTTATTTTTATTTTGACAAAACTTTTATTTTGACAGGCACAGTAACCATAGTTTGACATTCATTTTAAGTTTGTGTTGATGTTGGGATGCAAGATGGCAAAGTGCAAATATGAGCCGGGGTATCTAAAATGTGGATTTTCATACTAGGACTGGACCCGAATAACCAACTATTCGTTCGCTGTGCTGGAATCGGGATATCAGTTTTGATCTCCCAATATTCCTCCCGCCTCCCCCCCTGCCGCCGCCGCCGCCGCTACCACCGATACAGCAGTGTGACCGTCGGTCGGACTGAATGCTCCCCGGCTGAAAAATAAGTGCAGCTGTTAAGGTCCTCCTTTTTGCTCAAAATGGATTGAAAATATGTTGTTTTGTGGCCTTTTTTATTTTGTGCAATTTTGTACATGCAGTTGTCATGTACCAGTTACTATGCATGGTTATATGCTCTGAAATGCATGCTGCACAGGAAAACGTACTGAATATTGAATTTTTTTAAAAATTGGGTCGCGACTTAATGACCACGGGAAAATGTGGGTCCCACGTTGGATCCAGTTGAGAACCCCTGTTCTAGATGGTTTCACCCAGTACCTGCAGGTTTCACTTCAGAGAAGAAGGTGCCAACTTTCTTCCCTTCCACAATGTCTGTGATGACGTGGCCTGTGACTTTAGGATCTGTGCCGTTGGCGATGACGACAGAGGTCCCACCCTGTAGTGCCCAAAGGGCTGCTTTCACCTGATTCACACAACATGATTGAGTATAGTGAAACTTTTTTATGACTGAATCAATTCTGTCCTGTTTACAAATTGAGAAAAAATACTGTATGTCACACTGACCTTCGCTTCCATTCCGCCAATACCAACTCTGGACTTGGTACCATACGTGATTGACTGCTGGTCTCCAGGATAGAATATATCAATGAGCTTGGCATCATCTGTTCCTGGGGGACTGTCGAATAAGCCTGTGGGATTTATACATTTTTTCTTTTTAATCCTTAATGGAACCAAAGAACTCCTATTATTATGGTTCTGTCTTGATCAGGAAAACCCATCCATCATGTATACCCCGCTTAATCCTCATTAGGGTCGCGGGGGGGCTGGAGCCTATC